CCTAAACCCTAAAACCCTCACCCTAAATTCCCGATGAAGGTGTCCAGGGAGCTGGCCACAATGATCTCAACGAAGCTGATCCATGCGGAGAGGAGCCTCTGGCTGTATTCTCGGGGCAAGAACTTGGAGGTTCATGGGCAGCTATAGCTGGGATTATAAGTAGGGTAGCTCTAATTATAACCTATATTATTAGGGACTTTCAACCCCACTTATAATTATAACGACCCATGGACCTCCAAGAAGATTGAGGAATTTAGGGAGCATGATTCAGATCAATAGCTGATGTCCAGAGCAGCGGTCCAGAATCTTGGGCTCTGAGGTCGAGGGTCCGCACTTCCGTGCCCGATTCCCAAAATTCCAAAGCCAAGCAACGAACAAAAGAGACAACATAGTGGAAGCCATAAAGTTGGGACATCATAGTCCTCGTGCCCTGAAGGTGAGGTAGAAGGGAATCCTAGCACAAATCATCCTAAGCCCGTGTTCCAACTTTCTGGGGTTCGATGCAAGACTGTCCATGGTCTGCAAGCTGTGCGGACCCTACTATAGGGTTGGAAGATTACTCATACCGCAAGTTCATGGTCATATCAATCACAGGGGTACTGTAGGGTTCTACAATGGAGTTCATTTCAGGGGTAGTACAAGAGCTCCTGGTGCGCCAAGCATGATCACCCTTCCATCCGAGGATTCTCTCCTACGTGGTGAAGTCTGAAGGCTCCAGCTTGGGGGCTGTCGGGCTTTCGGGTTTCGGGGTGCGCAGCGGCCTGAAATGAAATTGGGGATAAGGGGGTGTCGTGAGAAGTTCTTCTAAGTAGAACTCAAAAACCATTAGGGTCTGTGAGTGTGCATGATATATCAGCTTGCTGTGAGATGCACGACATGTTTTGCTAAACCCTGCCGACGTGTTAACTATCATTGACACAACACCGGCTTCGTACTCGAACCTGAAAATAGTTTTGGTTTTGTTCCTTCGCAGCGATCCGTGACTCCCACATGGCATGAGCGTTCTCAGACTATAAAACTGAAGCTGCCAGCTTTGTGTCAAAAGGTCAGGGCTAGTTGTGCAAGCAGACTGCAGCTCCGTGCTATCCAATTCGAAGTCGGGTGTAGATGAGCGGTATTCAAATCCGGCCATTTCGTCGTCGGAATCATGCAAAAAACCTGTAGCTGCATGCAGACTTCCCGGGCTGTGTGATGCATGCGCAAGTTCAAGCCGGAGGCTTTCAGCAAGTGCTCGACATCTACCAGACGCCGCACGGCTGCACTTCCTTAAGCACATGCAATAACCACAGAGCTAACTGTGCCCGGACTGTGCCCTGGATGCTTGGAAGATTGATCCAAAATCCCTTTCCTACTTCCCAGCACTAAGCCCTCAGCCAATTTCAGACCCAAAGATCTTGAGTGCCTCCCCAGGCACATGGACCATGCAGTCGACCAGGCCTGATTTCGGCTTTCCGGTGCAAGGTTCATACCTTGCAGCGTTGAGAGCTCAGGGGCACTTGTAGGCTCCAACGACAGCTTGAGAGAAGGCATCTAGAAGCTGCTTTGCATGCAACCAGTGCTTGCGACACCCCGTCTACCCTGTGTCACCTAGTCATATCATACCTGTAAACCTAAGCACGCTAATCTCCCGTAATGTCGAGAGTGGCATCCCCAAGGCACGATCATAGTACCAAGCCCTCCCCAGGGGGCCTCGGTCCATCTTACAAAATCAACAAAGGACCCTGAGCCCAAACCTCGATCTGAAGCTTACACCCAGGTTTTAGGGTTTAGGGTACTCAAACTGTAAGACCCAGTTTAGACTAACCTGGTAGCCCGGACCCTGATCCCAGAAACCCGGAAACTGAGGAGGTCCACCGCTATGTAAGCTCCTGAGAACCTTGGGCTCGACATCCTACCTATAGGTCCCCATAGTAGTTCCTTTTTGGGGCTACCTTATAGGATTCTATGTATGAACCCCAAAAAGAAACTACTTTAGGGCCTATGGGTAGACTCAAGAAGCAGGAAGAACCCTTAGCAGCCCAAGCATGCGCTTTGTTGGCTTACTTACAGAGCGGCTTCTCGAAACTAAATCCTAAAGCCTAAGCCCAAAATCCTAAGTCCTAAACCCTAAATCCTAAACCCTAAATCCTAAACCCTAAATCCTAAACCCTAAACCCTAAGTCCTAAACCCTAAACTCTAAACCCTAAACCCCCAAGATTCGGAGCCCGGGACTTTCGGAGGTCTTGGGCCGCACCTCGCGCGTGCTCCCCGCCTTCGTCGGCAGGGACGCCGTGCGCGGCATCAAGGCGCGGTGTGGGGTTTAGGGTTTAGGATTTCGGTTTAGGGTTTAGGATTTAGGGTTTAGGGTTTAGGTTTAAGGATTTATAGGGTTCAGGATTTAGGGCTTAGGCTTTAGGCTTGAGGGCTGGGCTTCAAGCAGCCAGGGTTTAGGGTTCAAGCCTTGATGTGGAGTGTGCTACCTTGGGGACGACAAGAACCCCAAAAGTGAGTTAACAAGTTAAAGGTTCAAAATACCATATATGGATAGAGAGTATAGGGGTACAGGCCCCCTACTGTTGAGGGTCATGTGGTTCTTCAGGCTATGTGTTTCCCAGTTATGTATGAGTGGTATAGACTTCAGACCATAAGGGAGTTTCTGGCTCTTGCTTGAATGTATGTGTGCCCTCACCCTGAAAGTGCCCCCATCTCCATCTGGCATATGTCATCAGCCGTGAAGCCGAAATGCAAGAAACAGCTAGCTACCCCTAGGCTTCAAAAGGCTTCGTAAACTCCACAGATGCCCTAAACCACAAAGCCTTCCAAGCATTTCCCTACCGTAGTTCGACCCCATAAACCCTAAACCCTAAACCCTGAGCCAACCAACCAACCAACCAACCAA